AACTTGTAGCTTACTAAGCACAGGAGGCTGTTTTGATTCTGTTTCCATTTTTGTTTAATTTTACGTTGAGACTTTAGGACTATGTTAAAAAATAAATAAAAACATTTTTATTGGTCTGTAGCTTGCACTTGTTTACCTTCATATGTATTGTACTAGTATACTGAAAAAGTGATAGCATAATAGTTACATGGAAAGGTACACAGAGGCTTAGTGTCTTGTTCTTGTGGTGCCCAATTGGGCCCCATTATCCAGACCAGAGCTGCTTTGTACTGTTGCTGGGCAGTAGTCTTTAATTAGGCCTCAAAGAAATATATGTAGCTTTTGTTCACACTTGAACCATGTGTATTTGGGTTCTGGATGTAACACAGCACAGGGAACAAGAATACGTGAAGTGCTTATCAATTATGTGAGTGTTGTGAGAATCACATCCTTATAGAAAAACTGGCAATTTGGTGGTGGGAGCTAAGAAAGCACAAGTCACCACCCAGTTATTAGGAATGGAATTGTCCAATTTTAAAGTGAACCTGTAATGATTTTCTTAACTTGTCTTAATTTGTCATTCCGTTTCTATACTCCCTAAACCGCAATCGCAGCATTGCCTTGGGAGTTTCCGTAGCAACCACAGCATAAAACTATTTGTGACGGATTGCCTGGCACCCCGACTGGCTGCCTCCGCCAATCACTGATTCCTACCAACACAAAGTACTCCTAAGCACTCCACCAGACACCATAACCACTGTAATCCCCACAGCCAGCGTTACAGCTTAGTTGAATGCAACCAGTTCGTATGTACACTTAGTCTGAGTCTCTTGTTCGGGAGTGTGTTTCAACCAAACGCTGCTCTTCTCAAGTTAATCCAGCCGAACGTATGAAGAGATGGAAGTGTTTGTGCCATTGAGTGTCCGATTTATAGTTCCATGCACTCGACGACCAAACACTGCTGTATGTGTTCGCGGCTAAAGATGGCAGTCGCCACGTGTTCGTCCATAGAACAGCGGCCACCTAGCCGAACGTTTGGAATGTTGCGGTTAGAGCTTGTTAACGAGATCAATAGGGTTAGCAATCGACACACTCCACTTCCAGGTGGTCCAACTGTTCGGTAGTTGGTTCGGCATATGAACAGCATAAGTATAATCTGTTCAACAAATCCTATATATCGAACCAGACAAGGGAAAAGGCACAAACAAAGCCTTTCCATAGTCCTGAACCATAGTCTACACATTGGCCATAGTGCTGAGGTAAGAGGTTGGCCAGCAGGCCCCTCCTAGAACCTGTGACAAGGTTCAGTTCGTCACACTATTTTTTTTTTACTTATTAATAATTAATAATAATAATAATAATTTTTTCAACCTTTTTGTTGATCTTTAAAGTTGTGTTAGGTGTCAGGATAGGCCTGACCCCCAACATACAAATCTTGGTACATGCAAGGAAGGTATGCGTTACCTAGAGTGGCCAGGCTAGTACTAGGATTGTAGTCACAAAGTGTGCAAGCAGACACAGAATAAATGTTAACAAGCTGAGATCAGGGATTTCAGAGGTACACAGAAACTAGAAACAAGCCAAGGTCCGGAATTAGAAAGATCAAGAATGGTCAGACAAGCAAAGGTCAGAAAACATAATAAATAATATATAACGCACTCTCTGCTGAACAGAAACCACGACAAGTCAAGGAAATAGGCACAACCAGGAATTATATAAACTCTGTGCTGGGTTATGATTGGTTACAGAGGGTCATGATGTCACAAGTGTAGCAGAACTCCGATATCTCAACTGGATATCTTCAGTGAATTTCCATCTAGCTGGAAGAAGAGCCCTTTTAGTGTTTCTAGCCCAATTCCACAAACCCCAGATGATACATAGTACAGGGGAGAACAAAAACCTTAATAATACGAGTTTATATACACAGACGCTCCAGCATCGGGTCTCCAGAAAAGGTATAGGTGATCCCACCCAGGTGTCTCTATGTCTGGAAGAGGATTGTAACATCTTAATTAAATTATCTCCCATATACAAAGTCGCATAACAAAAAACATGCCAAAAACATCATTTTTATCACAAAAAAACCCCCAAATAGTGCATACTTAAGCACCCAATCTGGTAAAATATTGCCCTGGTCCATGGTGTATAGTGACCACATCACTCGGCTAACGTTTTGACCGGCCGCAGCTAAAGTTCAAACCGAAAATAGTTCCACAAGGCCGGTCTGAAATCTGCCACTGAACTTCCTACAGTCGGAATGCCGAAGGTGCTGAGTGGCTTGAGGTCATGGCGCTTTAGGGCTGGTTCTTCACATACTAATGGCTTGAGATATGTAATACAACAATATGTTGTAGAATAGGGACTTCAAATTGGCCTGGCTTCATGTGCGAAGAACAAGAAGAGGCAGATCTATATGAAATAACAAGCCAAGGGCAATGGAGGCACACTAAGTTAATAAACAAGCAAAGGTCAGGGATACAGAGAACAAAGTAATCAAGACAAGTCACGATCAATAACCAGAATCAAAGTCTATAGAAAAAAAACACGTTCTCAGATACCTAAACTGGAAACCACAACAGGGCACTGAGCAGATGAGAAGCTTGAATATTTATAGGTCTTGGGGATGTTTTGTTGATGGGCATGCCCCCAAAAACACAAGTGGGTGTCAACAGTAGCATCATAAAGTGAGTAGTGCTTGATGATGTAATAAAAGGGTCAGGGCTACAGCGTTTGGCATCAGAAATGCTTGGAACGATGTCTGAGTGTGTGAAACTGATGTTGTGCATAGTTGGGGATATAATAGGTGAGTGTTTTAGTGCAGGGGTATGTATCTTTACTTTTATATCCCCTGAAACGAATCAATCGTACATAGTGAGCTATCCAGATGTCGCTTACAAATGGAAACTGGGAGTGCTTATCAATAAGCCTAAATTGTGCACAACGGAAGTTTTCAGTTTGTCCAAATGTATTGAGACAAAAATAAATCTCTGTTTCATCCAAGACAAATTTTTAGCCATTAGTCAATTTGATTTCAGCACAAACTCGTCCAATGTTTTTGTTCTAGAATTTCTATTCGGACTAATTAAATGGTACAACCTTACAGTGGTTTAGAAACTAGGAAACTCCCTAATTTGGTATCTTTCTGTGGGATTTCCATAAGTAAGGGTACCAAATTAGTGACGGAAGTAGATTTAGTAGTTTGGTATCCTTAAACATGGCAATACCACATAATGGTAGCAAATTAGGGAGATATCTGCTAAGCAGCTATAAGATAAAAATGTAGTAAATCCTTTTATTTTATTTATATTTTTCTTACGTATAGATATTCCAACATAAAACCATTGTCCCCATTGTGTTTTATTGTGTTTAACCAAGATAACATAGTCCTATGTGAAAATTGCTCAGGGTCGGAATTCGTTTTGCAAAGCCCTGTATAGGAAATAAATATGCCTCTTCGAAGTCTGGAATCCAAACCAACTTTTTTAATATGTATGCTTTTTTTGTGACATTTTTTATTTATATTTATTTGTTAACATCCTAGAAGACCCAGACTCTTGTACGATCTGCAGTTTAAAAAAAATAAAAATAAAAGCTTCAAGGTCACATTATTGCAGAAGATGATGTAGGCTTTGTTTCCAATATCGGAATAATTTTTTTATCTTTCCCTTTTTACTCTTCATACTGTTTGTGGAGCAGCCAATAGCATAGCAGTGCGTTATTCATGCCCTGGAATTATATATTCTTCTTTTTCATTTTCATGTTTATTACAGCTACAGTTGTTGATTTGTTTTTATAGAGTTAATACACATTACATTTATTTATTTATTTCAATATATATTTTTGTCATTGAATGAAAACTATTACCAGGCACACAATCCATTTGGAATGCATTCTTCTATAACAGGTCACATATCAAGGTTGCATAACTGCAATCTAATCACATGTTTGAAGAGTTTATGTAGTGCTCAACGATAGCCAACAATAGTCTTTATTTATAGCGGGTGGAAACCCTTCTTTTGGATGTATTGCAGGACAAGCAAGTTCACAGTGATCGTGGAGATGCATTTATATTCCCAAGTCAAAATGACAATATATTTCTTGAATGTTGTCTTTTTTTTTCATCGCTTTTTCCTGCTGTTTAGAAATGTGTTAAGAGAGGCAACTGCAAAATAAGATAAACAGAATTAATCTGTTATCACCTTAACTGAAACATGGAATATCTTTGCAAAAAAAAAAAAGTGAATTACTAGTTAAAGGAGAACTATCATCTCAACATTGATTTTTTTTATCAATCTTTATAGCACGCAGAGAGATAGCACAATGCTTGGTAAGTCACAGCAGCTTCCGCAAACCTAAAGGTAACATGTTATACAAAGCATTATTATGGCATTTACATAAATTACACATTTTTTATTTTATAGTAGGCTTCAATATATGTGTCTATCCTATGAGTGTTGCAGAAAGCATGTTAGGTAATAAATGTTAATGCATAGGAGTAGTCACATCAGGAGTATAGTACGTTTTGCATAAGACAAGCAAAAACAAGCTAGGCAATTTGTCAGTGGAGATTGAATTTAAAATTATGTAGCAACTGGGTGGATTGGCAGAGAAACTGACTTGAGAGTGTGGGAGATACCACTGCTGCTGAGAGCATTAGCACAGCACCCTTGCAATCACAACCCATATAAAATGAAACTAACATAAAGAGTAAAGATAATAAAAAAAATCAAATCAAATATGGGACACTGTGAATATGTAACTGATTACAAGATAAGAGATGGTGTCTCTCAGGTAACCCAAATTTTAGACAGCTGGTAGTGGGGCTGTGTGCGTTAGAGAGTCCCAGGTCAGCCTATTCCCGAGCTCGGGACACATCTGAGCGATGATGAGGCCAAACATCTCCAAAGCCCCGGGACCACAATGAGGCCGGCAACACTAAACCACAAACTTGAAAACTGACATAGTCCCAGTTCTTCCCGGGATAGCAGAGGGCTAATGTGATCTGGCGTCACTGCCCATGTTCAGTGCGCTGCTTGAGTGGTTGTTGCTTTAGAAGTTGGTAATCTCTTGATGGCCTCCCGCTGAGGTGGGGTTGTGTAGCAATGGTTAGATGCTGGCAGATTAACAGTGCCTGACGGAAGTCCATCGCCATCTTGTAACACGCCCCTCTGATCTCCTGTCAGGGAGTCTAGCCGGGTTGATGCTACCCGTGCTGCTAGTGTATCCCAGAATTTAGTAAAGATAGCTGCTAGTCGAATCATGGAGCTCTCCATTGGGTCTCGCTGGTACTGGTCGTGTGGTGTCGGAGTGTGCTCTTGAGGAGTAAGTAACTCCGCCATCTTGCTTATAAAGGTGCACTCAGATGCACTGCCACAGAGATTAGTAGGATTCGACTGGTGACCCAACTGTGCAATGGAGGCCGGGATAACCCCCGCCGGCCCAAAGGGGGTGGGGACGGGACATTGCAGGTCTCTACAAGAGAGTGAGGCTTCAAGGGACAGGAGATCGGCCACTTCTCCCAACGGCTGTTTGCAGTAGGCCTTGGTGGTTTCACCAGAAGTTAGCAGGTCAGCACTGCAGAAAGCCAAACTGGGCCGTTCTGTGCTATGTTAGGAGTAGGTGGGGCCCCGATGAAGTCGATTCTGAGTGCTGGGTGTCGCGATTCAGCGATTAAAGTAAGAGCTGAACAAGGAGCTCTATCATGATGCGACCAACCGCCATGAGGCTCAAGTCTTGCCCCCCCAACATTGAATTTTTTAATATAATGATCCTTACATCATGTTTTGAAATTGAATTTTTTTTTTAAAAACTCATCTCTATCTTTAGTATAGCACAGGATCCTCCAGCTAGATACATACACCTTGAGTCAGACAGTGTATGAAAATCTCTATATGAGTGTGAACCCCGAGGCCTACCTGAGGGTGAGGCGGCCAATCTCTCCACCAGTGTTCTCGCTGGAGTCAGATGACGCAGCACGGATGCTGCTGGTGAGGGCTATCTTGGCACCTACTTTTTGGATTCCCCTATTTACTGCTCAGTGCTTGAGCGACACGCTGTCTGTTGGAACATCATCTTTCAGATACGATTCTCGAGACTTACTGGATGCAAGTTTCGATAGCCTGGACAAGCTGTTTCTTTTTTCAAAAACTGCTAATGTTGGAGTTAAAAGGGTTGGATTATGGCCTACCTTGAAGTCAACCTTCTGGTGCTTTGCGATCTATTATTGATTCTGCCTAATGACCGCCTTCTGTAATTAAACATCCTGGGAGACCAAGGAGGAAATTTGGGCCGACTACTCCACGTTGAATCTCTTGGTTGACCATTATCATTTGCTGCATACCTGGGTCTAGGGCCTTAAAGGGACAACTACTTGTGCACTGCTCACACCCTTTGGAAGGTCTACAGTGGACACTATTTAGTGTCCAGATCCTTTTGTGACCCTGATTTCGGCACAAGGAACGATCAGATCCGTGGGTATTGTATACAGGCACTTGTTGAGTCCTAGCGCTGGCGGAGTGGACTGTTTTTTGATAACGAAGGCCATATATTGATCTGGGCATAGCTTCACTAGATTGGAAGTCAACCTGGCAGTTTGCTACACTTTATCTACCACTTGATTTTTGATACTTAATAATAATAATAATTATTATTATTATAAATTGGCTAATATTTAAAATGTGCAGCCTCTATATAGTCTATATATGGCTGAAGGATCCTGTCATATACTGAAGAAAGGGATGAGTTTTTCTCGTTTTTTTAAATTATTTATTTAACCAAAAATCTTTTTATTTTCAAAACTTGACGAAAAAAAATCATTATATTAAAAGACAGTGTTGAGGCGACCATTCTCCTATTAATGGAAACAACTGCCTCCGTGTCCATTTTATTTTGTGTGCCCCCTAGTGGACAAAACATTTTGGGGGGAAAATATTTAATGTTTCAGTAAATTACAGATGCTAAAGCAAGTACGCTCTACTGCCAATGCAGACTTTGGCTATTTGCATCCGTAAAAACAATAGTTTTGCTACAACTAATATGCAATAAATGATTTCATTTCCCAGTAATGGTTCCAACAAGAAATGTACTTTGTAGTACATTTAGTAAACTACCAATAGTATGTGGCATACATTATAACAGAGCTTTTATCAGTCTTTTTTTTTTTTTTTTTCTTGAGATGGTTTTCCTGCAAACCGCTTGGTAGTGAGGGAGTTAAGGAGCACTCTCTTAATGTACACCTACTAACACCCGTTCTACATACCAGGCATACCTTTAGTATTCAGAAGTATGTTCTAGCTATACGTTAAAATAAGCAGCAATGTATGTTTCAAGCAAAAAATGAGTGTGCTCTTTGAATGACACAGTGTGACATTCTTCTATCGTACTCCTCCCAATAATCAAGGAGTTGTCACATCACCCGCCCCAGATACAAAAAAACTTGGACTTACCACTGACAGGATTTTTTTTTTTTTTTTTGCAACTGTCTATAGTAGCAAAGGAAATGGTCCGGTGATTGCCTGCACCACTCTGCTCTGTACAAACTTCTGCAATAATCCATCACAATGCACTCGCAGGCAGGGAGCTTTCTAAAGCGACACATAAGAGCCATTATCACAGCCTGAAATAGTTTCCCGTGGTTTGCCATAGAGCTGCATAAACAGCTTGCCTTGCTTCTTATCCCCAAAACACTGCAAATGATGTGCACTTACACTCCAAAAACACATACTGCAGTGTCACGCTGGCTCTGAAGGACATGACAGGATATATAGAAGGTATAGGACATACGTGTGTGTGTGTGTGTGTATGTATCACTACTTCTGGGACATGCCCAAGCTAAACCAACTAGGGAGGGAAGGAAAGAAGCCAACAAACAAAAAATTGCTGCAAACAGAAATGAATTTATTTAAATTATGAAGCAGAAAGGACGGCTGTGGTAAATTCTGTTCCTTGATAGGATCTGACATCCAGTTGGTAATGATGTGTGCAATACAAATCTTCCACCTTTTCACCCGTGTTAAGTGGAAACAAAATTTGGTAACTTACCTTTGGATACGCAGCTTCCCTCTGGTTACCTCCCAATATAGGACTATTTTTTTGTTTTATTTTTATTCTACCTTTTATCAATTTTACTATTATATGGGACCATTTTTTGTTTAGTTTTTATTCTACCTTTGATCCATTTTACTGTTCTATGTGGAACATTTTTTGTTTTGTTTATATTCTACCTTTAAAAAAACGAAATAAATCAATTTTACTATTATATGTCAATAAATCCTTTCTCTATGCGTATTGGAGTTCCTAAATCTTTCTAATTGGGACCACCAGCAGGAGAAGTCCACAACCCCCAGTACAAACAGGGAAGGCACCCTGAAGGCTCATATATTGCATCCAACTTGTGAGTGTAACCTTGAAGTGTCTTGCTATTCAATAACAAAACAATATTGTACTATGTTTTGTTTTATTTATCTTTAGTAGTGATAACAGCTGAATCCCTAAAACAGCATATTTTTGTATTTACTTGGTAATGACGTGTGACTGCCCTACAGATCTGGTCTGAAGGAATATAAGCAACCGCATCCCAGGAAGTAGAGCGATACCTGATGGAATGTGCTTCCAGTCCCCTAGGGGCCGGTATTTCCTTTGCCTTATAAGCTTGGGATACAGCTGTGGTAATCCATCTGGATATAGTTTTAATGGTATCTTGGATAGCTTCTTTGACTCCTTCTACCACAGCCTGTTTGATATAGGCACCAAATCTAATATATAGGGCATTGGAAAACTTTCCTACAGTAGAGCACTTGCTCAGAGGTTCCGAAAGACTGGAAATTGAAACAATTGCCAAAAGGGTTTTAAAAGCAAGACGACATTGCCCAGCAACCAACCGACCACAAGTGCCAAATTTACGCTATCGAATGGTGCTAACCCAGGACTATATATATATATATATATATAATTTAAAAAAGATTGTGCACTCCATATATTCAGTAACTTGCCCGGTGCTAGTCAGGCCAAATGCATAGAAGATACTCCAGATCGCACTCTCAGGACTTGTCAGAAAATGAAACTAAGCTTTTAATTCGCTTTCCATAAAAATAAATAAAAATCAACGTTTCAGTTTGTTACACAGTCCTGATGAAAGTGTAATAAACTGAAACATTGATTATTTTTTTTTATGGAAAGCTTCTACCTGATGCTGCCACAAAAAAAAAATAACCGTAAGTATGACATTTTTTTTGCTTATTCCTGGCTCCATCACTTATGGGTAATAGCTCTAAGTTATACAAATGAGTGGCGGGAAGGCAATAACCACACAATGTAGCCAGAATGATTTATTATTGAGGATGAACCGAAGACACCGCTGCCAAAGGTAGTGGATGAGGAAGTCACATCCAGTTTGTAGTGCTTAATGAAAGTCATATGAGAAAACCAAATCCTGCAGATGTCATCAGATGATACTGCCCAATAAAACACTGCCTAGTTAGCCCAGGAGGACACCAGAGAATGTGTTTTAATCTTATCAGGAGGAGCTTGATTCCTCAGTTGATAAGCTTTCAATGTTTGAAATCCAATGTTTTCATGTAGAAGCAGACACCGTTAACCCTTTTATGGATCTCGTAGGAAGTGCAAATAATTGACTTGATTTGTGGAATGGCTTAGGCACGGACATTTGTTTTATTAAACATTCCGTACAATTAATTGATGGAGTTTAATTTCCTTATTAGATGACAGTGTTAGATAAAAGGTAGGGGAATTGACTTCTTGAAGAAGAGGGAAGCTTGAGACTTCTTTGCCAATAAATCATGCTTCGGTCTCAAAACTACCCTGTCGTGATACACCTGGGTATAAGTGTTATCGAAGGAAAAATACAGAATTTCAGACATCTGTCTTGCTGATGTTACTGCAACCAGAATTAGTCTTGTATGTCAGTAAGATTTGATTTAGCTCATCCAATGGAGCAAAGGGGGTTTCAGTTAACATATCCAGCACTAGTGGAGATCCCAGGGAGCCATATAATGCACAAGGAAGCCTTGAATAATCTTGGACATAGCAATACCAGGGTACTCTTTATATAGGAAAGATAGGGAAGGCAAGAAAGGGGGAGGGGTGGCCTTGTATGTGAAGGATAGCATAAAATCTAGCCTAATAAAAGTTTGTGAGGCAAACATAGAGTCCGTTTGGACTACGTTAGAATTTGGTACTCACACAGTAACTCGTGTAGGTGTGATTTATAGGCCCCCAGGACAAATTGAAGAGTTAGATAATCTACTAGTTGAGGAAATAGCTAAAATGACAATGAAGGGGAAGTTATCATCATGGGTGACTTTAATCTTCCTGATGTAAA